CTTTAATTGTCGATATTAATTAGGAAATATTTTTTCCCCACACAGCTTGCTCTATTAATTAAAAATCTTCTGTTCATAATATTTAGTTATTTTTATCTTTTGTCTTTTTTTATAATTAGAATATAAAATCTCCATTAATATATCTCATTATATAATTAGAATATCAGGCAAGATTACATCGCAAATTGTGTATTAGTTCAATTTACTGGAAATAAAATTAGAGTTTGTGTTAGTTATGAGTTGACATAAAAACATAGTTCTCTGTATAATTCAATAAATTTCTCTGACAAAAACGCATTCTTTAATCTGCACATAATTTTAATGGATAGCAAAGTAACAGCTGCAACGAAAATACTTTTTTTGGTCGCTTGAAATCGTTTGGCAAATTGCGTTCGCTTCAGTTCATAATACATCATTTGAAAAATGACTGGTTAATCAATTAATGAAAATATTCTTATCATTTTTCATTTGGATTACTCTTTTAAATAAGAATATATGTATTGAAAGTAAGATAATTTATTTATAATTAAATATATTAATAGTTATACTTTGAATAGTTACCTAAATGATTTTGAAAGAGTAATTGTGCTGAACTTGTGCAGTAATATTAAATTGCTAACACTCATTTTTTTGAGGAGATTAATAAAAGTTTATTACATATTAAATACTGTGATTCGTTTATTTTATTTTTTTTATATACATAGGAAGGATAATACGTTTTTTATTAAATAGTTAACTGAAATTATGCTTATCAATCTTTTAATAGTATAAATATACCATCAAATAAAAAGTTTTTTAATTATCAACTCCACAACATAAAAGATTGCAAACAATTTTGTAATAGTCCAGCACCAGAACGTATGTTTAGAAATTTATAAGCATTTTTGAAAAGTGTTCATGAAATTAGAAGTCGACGTTTAGAAAAACTGCGTAATAGTTATGTCATTAAAGTTTTTAAAAATATTTACAGCAGAAATAAGAGCGACAATCAAATAAAAATCGAAATTCAGCTGAATGATGATGAATGAGGATTATTGTTTTGGATGAAGTCATTTGCTAAAATTATCTTATTTTATTTGACAAATAATGCGTTGTTATCTTTATATTTCCGATCTTTGAGTAAACTTCATTTGTGAATCTAATTTATATTTTTAATTTTCATTTCTTTGTAAATCGCGTTCTGTAAATATAAAAATTAAAGTGTTCCCATGGTCCTGAAAGAGGTACTCTTCTTGAACTGTTATAGGTCTAGTATAAGTCGAGACGTTACAGGTTCATTGTTTGTACTTTTAATTTATAAATTGTAACAACTATAACAAATAACATGTTTCACAATTCGTTTTTTTAAGGTAATAAATTTTTAAAACTTCTATTAATTTAGAAAAGAAGAATATATATATGCCCAATTTTGCCATGGTGACAGTACATTGCAGTAGAAACGTCTTACAGTTCATTTCTAATCCTTTTGACGATAACATTCCAATTAGATTGAAATAAACTTCGATCGAAGAACTCCCCAGAAATAATCCACTCATTAAAGGAAAAAGAATGAAATATTTTTTTTTTCCAAAAAAGACATCAAATGAGTTTGAACAGGAACTTCATTCCCCTGAAGGAAAGTACTGTTTTCAAATTTGGGACTGAAATGCGATATTTTTTTCCAATGATTATTAACGAAATTTATTCATTTTTGAAAATCTTAAGCTAATTATAACGCTTCTTCTGTTAATGCTTTTCATGTTATTGCATAGTTTATTCATATATTAAAGCTCCACAAAAAACTTACATCAGATTAGCCGATTTGAATGACTAACTCTGGGGATTTAATTAAGATTCAAAAGTAAAGAAAATAAATATTCACTTATTAAAATCTGCTTTTGGCCATTTATTTTCTTGAGAAAAAAATTTTTTTCTAGTAAGTTTTAAGGTTTTCGTTTAGAATTTTGGTTTTGATTTCAATCTACAATACATAAATTTTTTTTTTGATTTTAGAATATATATGCACATACTACTACAATTTTTTTGAAATTACTTCATAATTTCTGAAGCCATATTTATGTCCTCCTATAGCTAAATTAAGTAATATTTGGTTATAGTAGATTAACTAATGTGTTCGAGTTACTTACTGAGTTTAAATTAACATTATATGCTGTTAGGGAACTAACGTTGTTACAGTTATTTAATATAGATTAAATTATGTGTATTCTACTAACCATTTTGTCCCAGCCCGTCTTGATACCTGGGTCTTTACCTCATTTTTGGAATATTTACTCTTAAGTAGCAGTGTTAAATTATTATCTGATGGAGATGCTACTACAGTTCCTTGAATACGTCCAGTTGACCAGTTAGGCATAGAATGATCATCACTTAGCACATTGGCAAATAGAAATGGATGGATAAATCATATAATTGTCTATTTAACAGCTTTGATTAAATCATATTATAGACTTTCATCATGCTTGACTTAAAATGAGTCTTCAAGCCATTTTACAGAGCTGAAGTCTGCGAATTTAATTGTAATGGAATGTCATAGGATTTTCTTTAGAGGATATGATAACTTTTTCAGAAACATTGTATTTTTTATGCCACCAAAAACCACAGTATGGACAACTAAAGGTAAGAGCGAACTATGTATTCAATGGTTGTAATTGTCTTTAAATAAGAGTGGATGTATCCAGCAAAATAATTTATGTTATCTAATGGTCCAAAAATTGCTGTTGTTGAGTAGTTACAAAATGGGTAATAATGTTGTTGTTTTTACTGGAACAAATTGTTTGAATTCGCTCTTGCTTTGCAGTCTGTTTATTCTCTAGATCAAGGGTAGTCAACCATTTTGGGAAGAGTGCCCCTATCAGAAAAAATAAAGCTTGCCACTTTCAACTTTTCCAATATACTATAAAGGGTGAAAAATATTATTTATGGTCCAATTCTGGAATTTTTACGCAAGTCGCACATTTTTTTCCTTGTAAATCTGAGCAGTGAAGATTTAAGAAATACTATAATAAATAAAACAAAAATGCAAACTTAGATTTTATTGTTAATAAACATTTTTTAAAGGTTCTGTCAGTTAAGTTATGTATAAAATAATAATGAATAACTTGAAACATTTAATTCCAAATAATTATTATACAGTCAATACTTAATTAATATTTTAATTTTATTTTGTTCGTAAAACCTAAAAAAACATATGTTGGTCCAAACCTACAACAATATCTGATAGCCAAATTGTGTAAATTTGAAAAATTGTTTATTGGTACAAATTTAAAAAATTCATTATAATTTGGAGCACTTGCAGTTAAAATAAGTTTTTACATTTACTTTTCACTGTAATATGATGCTGCAGGCCAATAATTTTGATTTGGATTTCAGGTTGTTAAAAATTAATGTCTTGCAATAGAGAGAAATTAAAAAAAGGATTTGTGAAAAGATCAACATTTTTTTTACTTGAAATCATCTTGAAAATCACCCTCCAACCTAGACATTAGTAGAAAACATTTCTAGAAATATTTAGTAGAACATTTTGTCGAAAAATGACAAGCAAAACAAATTTGATTTAGAAACATTAAATTTATAGTTGTTTAGCGTTTTTAAAACAATCAAACGTTTGTTTGGAATGTGGTAATATAATAAAAAACTTTTTCCTTTATGGCTAACAGGATATGATGATATAAGCTATGGATAGACACCAAAAGAAAATACTCAACTACCATCTGTAATGTTAAGCTACAAAATCTTAATTCCTACCTAAAACTAATTCAAATTTGGTTAAAAAGACTTATGATCAATAGATGAGTATTATAGCTATTCGTGAAAATAAAAATTATGGTACGGACTACTGTATAAATTAGATATGAATTGTATAAACTCGATTAAATTACTTGAAAACTTTCTAATTTCTTTCACTATAACAAATAAGTATATCCTTACGTATAAAAAAAAAAATAAAGCCCTACCACTCAAGAATATTTAGACACTAGCACACATGGAGTTCTATTGATATTATTATATATATTATATCTATTGATATATATTATATATTGGAGTTCTATATATCTATTGTATTCTCCCATTTTTTTAGCACAAATAAACAAAGTGACTAATACCATACAAATCAATGGGAGAATAACTAAGTGGGTTATTGAATATTACGTTAGTCACGTGATTTCAAACTCGCAATCCCTATGCATGCTGTTCTTTATCATTAATATATTATTAGGTATGATACTAAAGATATGCGCACATTATTTACTAAGCTAGAGTTTAAATATATTACTGAGCTGTCGATTTTGGTTGTAAATTTGACGACATATTCTTTGATAAGTCTTCCAGAAAAGTCCAAAAACAATTGTTAGATTAGCACTAGAAAAAAAAAAAGGAAATATCTTGATCATTCAGCGATCTCTACAAAGAGTTAGAGAAAGTTCCCATAACTAACAAGGGAGTAAAATTTGAATCTCTGCTCCTAATATGGCATATTTACTGCTGTGTATTTATTACTGTAGTAGTGTGTAGATTGCACAACTAGACAGTAAATGTGTGATTGAGTTGAGATATTTGAGGCACAAGTTAGAGAACTCACAGCTTCATTGACACGCACAAACGTCACACACAAACAATTAGAGTCATACAATATTTAACACATTTAAAGACAGATAATTATAGATCCGTAGATGGATTACACTTCTAAGCCGAAAACCCTATACTCAACTAAACGTTGTTGTTGTTGTTTCTTATCCCACTTGGCTGGCCAAGCCCACGAGCCCATACATAGCTCATGAAGGAAGCAGCTTCTGTTGTGTGATGGAGCACCCGTAGGTAGAAGTCTGACTTTGGCTCCGTGACGCTTTTACAGTCATAGGAGACCGGGAACCTAGGACTTAAAGTGGATTCCGAACCACTGCAAACATCCATGGCACTGCTGGGATTCGAACCCGAAACCTGTGGCACGAGCGCCAGAGCGCTAGACACTTGGCCATTCAGGTCCCAAATTTGTGAATGCCAACGGCACGCGGTGTTCCCAGGTGGTCACCCACCCAAGTACTGATCGCGCCTTCGGTGATCTAACGAGAACCGCTACATTCAGCATGGTATGGCCGTTGGCACTAAACGTAGAATATGCTAAATGTACTTACTCTCCGGATAAGTGTATGTAGGCCAACTTATGTTCCGAGAATATATTTTCCTCTTTCGAGATGAAAACTAAACGTTTCTCAACAGAAGCACGTGGTTGCGGTGTACTTCCTCTCGGCTGAGTCCCATGGCCTACTGATCATTTCTTCTGAACTCCACAGGGGGCGCTCTTGCCAGTGTGTTGGAGAAAGCACGGTTACATTATTTATTTATGTACTCAGTGATTTATTCTACATATTCGAATTGATAGGCTTATTATTTTCACTGAAAAGATTAATGTATGTGTTAAATATTTTTTTTCCTTTTTTGCTTGAGTTGTTACAATGATATTTTATGCATGTTATTCATTACAAATATATTCGCATAAATTCATGAGCATTGACAAACCTTTTGCTGGTGATAATTTTATTCTAATAAAATTGCTAATTATTTTTTTTTATCATAAATGCAAACGGTAAAACTAATTTTTTTTTTATTTTCTGTTTCCTGAAATTATAATTAAATTTTAATTTTTTTTTTTATTCCTAACGAAGAAATTTCATGAATTCTTTCCGTTTTTAAAATTTCGTTTGAATTGTATAATCAAAATTTTACAAAGTATCAATTTTGATTTTCTTTTGAATTTCTAGCCAGCAGGAATTTCTTATGTTTTTTTTAAGATGCTAGACATTTGGCTTGAGGTTATTCCTCATTGATAAATTGAATTTATTTCCTTAAATAGTTTTTTAAATATAAATTTTTATTATCTTTATTGCTTTTCTAAAACTTGATGTTTGTTTTACGCATCAGTTTGAAATGCAGTCTACTAATCATATCATATAATTCTAATGCTTTAAATGCATCACGTGTTATTTTTTTTTAGTATTTCTGTGAAAAGGTCATTAAGAAACAAGTATTGGATTTAAAAGTACGCTATTAGAAATAGTATTAATTTTTTTTTTTGAATTAATTGAATTAAAAGCAATATAAATGAAATGAACAATGAAAGTAAATGTGATAAAATAATTTAATTAGAATGTACAAATTAAATGTTAAGTTAAAATTATTATCAATGAAAACCTGCAATAATATATTAATAAAAGAAAAAGTAATTTTTCAATAATTCGAAAAGAGTAAGAAATTTAATTAAATGAATTGATTCATTTTTAATTGAAAAAAATAATATATTCACTATTTAACAAATATTGCATTATTACTAGTATATTATTGATATTTAATATTTATTCGTATTCTATGTGCATGATGTTGTTATAAATAATATGCAGCAATTATGAAGAATGTTTATTTCGATATTATTAAAAATTATAGCCACTAATTGGTAATAGCATGAAATAATATTTTTTTTAAACACATCACAGAACTTTAATGCAACTTAATATATTTCATAAAAAAATATTGTTACATTTATTAACAACAATTCATCTTTTTTACATTTAAATTACTTTTTTTATAAGCTGTACTTAATATATTTCATTGCTTTATTAATAAAATGTAAACTATTATTACTCTATATTATGGTTCAAAAATAAATTAGGGTATTGAACTTAAATTGAATTAACAAAACTTTAACTATAATTAAACCATCTTTAACTATAAAGACGCCCGCTGCAAGCAGACATGGATTCTTCCCACCTTCCTAACGTCTATTGCAAAATATATAACGCCAATTTCACCCGTTGTTTCTTTAAAGACAACTTTTAATGCGAATATCAAAGAAAGTGTAAATTGAAACAATTTTGCAGTGTTGACATAGCTCAGGTGAAAGAAAGAAATATCTTTTAAAAACGAAGTTTTATGCAAAAATAAAAGTTTTACTTTTTAAAAAATTTAGGCGATTTTTTTTTTTAACTTCGAGGTCAGTCTGTAATTTAAATTATTAGGAAAGATTGGAACGCAAGAAAACAAGACGAAAATTCAGAATTGAACGTTTGATTATTTGGAGATTTAAATGATTATCCTCTTGAATTGAGCGGCTGGATGGCCAATTGGTTAGCTCTGGATTTTGATACCACATGCTTGAGGTTCGAATCCTGGCAGTGGCATGGATGTTTGTGAGTGGTTCGGAATCCCCATTAAACGGTAAGTCCCGGTATAATTAGCCCAAAGTGTGCAAATAAAAACGATCGTAGAGCGACAAACCAAACAGACATATTGGAATTGGATTGTCTGAGAAAGAAATATGAAAAGTCAGGTTCTACAAAGGAAATAAAAAGTATAAAAATGAAATTAGTAAGATTCTAAAATTGCTATTTGCAAAGTTTCGTGTAAAAAAGATTTGTAGCTTAAAAAGCAGTTATCAGTTCTTGATAATAAGAAAATTTTGAAACTTATAACTACCAGTATACCAACCAAAAAATTACCAGTTTACTCACCGAATAGTAAAATAAACAAGTGTAACGAAGTTTGAGGTTGATTTTAATACTCAGAAAAAAAGAAACTACGATTACCTAAAGATGTAGATTTGATGAAGGCAAATAATATAATGGCTTTCATCTCTACATTGAAATATGCAATATTTTGTAGACAAAAAAAAAAATTAACTTATATCTTCTGGACGGCAATAACTACTGCTGGCATGACTTAAAGCAATAATTTAGTAAATTATCTGACAGGCAGTTGGTTCTGTTATGGTATGGGATGCTTTTTTATAAATATATAGGAAAAGGCAATCTACAAAGCATTATTGCTAAATTAAGTTGGATAGTTTATCAACGTTTGTTGTACGGAAGTTTCATACGCTTCGAGCCCTTTTAAGAATGCTATAATGGAAGTTCCAACAATAAAATCCCTTGCATCTCATTATGAAATCACGCAACTCCTACAACTACAGAATGTTTTATGACAAGAGATTGGGGATCCACAATAAACGCTAATCTAAGTTGCATTGAAAGTACGTTGGGTTGTTTGTCTTTCTAACCTATACAAAAACAATGTTATTCAACAAATGAATTGAAAGTCATCATTATGGAGGAATACGATAACATTCCAGAATCTGTGTTTAGAAATTTGATTAAATCAAATCGTGTCTTTTAAAGTATCCGGAAATATTTCAACTAAATTTACTAAAACTTTCTTTTTGTACATCTGGCCTTACAAGTTGGTAACAGGTATTTATACCACTTTTTATATTTTATTGTTGTTTTATGTTTTCTAAATGAACATATTACACATAATTGAGGATAACTTTTATTTAAAACTTCGTGTACCGAATAGAATAGTTTTAATTTTGATGAAAGTATTTCCTTATTTACCCGCATAGTAAGATGTAAGGTGGTCTTTATACTGTCGTAACATATCGTATTCCATATTGAACAAATTAAAATTATTTTCTCGTATCAAGAATATTGAACGTTGACCATTTTTTTTCTAAAGAATATTGATTTAAAAAATTCAGGAATCAACGATATAATTGATGTTTAACATTATGCTTACTATCCATCGAATTTTTTTTTTTTTTTGAGGAAATATTTGAAAAAAATTCCAACTTATTACACAAGCATCTCTTTATTTGTTTCTTTTCAAAGTTACCTACCATGCGTATTTTGATACAGCCCATTTACTTTATTGAAAATCCAGAAATGGCAAATATCTTTGACAGTGGGCACCTTCAAGACTTTCATAATAACCCTCTCTATTTTAATATAAACGTAATTATAATAGTACAAGAAAAAAATACACTCACACGAGGTTTTAGATAGTTTATTTTATAGTTACTGTGCTTATAAAGTATAAATACTGCAATTATAAATTAATTATTAACATATATGGGTTTTGTTTTTAACTTTCTTCTGATTTTCGCTCATTATCTAATGTATTTTTTGTCCTATTTGGCCTCTGAGATTTGTTAGATCTCTTTGTTACAACCTACTTTTCGTGATTATATTTTAATAGTTTATTCCTTTAGGCGTTAATAATGTAAACAAGCCTTTAGGCATTAATAATGTAAATATTATTCGCATAATGATGTCTCCTATTTTTCTATTGTCCTCTGGTTGTGAATCAACCGTTAACATTTTCATATCAACCACAAAAAAAGTAAAATCTCGTGGTCTTATACTTTTGTTGCAGACTTTATTTTATTCATTGACATTATGTAAAATTAGGTTCTTTTTATTACGTAAAGAATATTGTAATTTTTCCCAGTTTTTATAAAGAATTTCGATTAAAAACATTTAAAGAAGTTGCAGTTATGTCAAATGTTAATACTATATATACATTTAAATTAAAGTACAAATGTCCATTTTTAATTAGCATTTGATGTGAGCAATCATTTAGTAATATCGGATAAATATAATTGGATGCCCTCTGCGAAAACAATTCGAAGTTCTGGATCTCTAATTTATATCTGCATTGTTGTCATTGCAAAAAGCAGTACCTGTAAGTAGAACCATGTGATATTTCATTCATTGCTATGGTTACTAAATCTCGATATTCTGATTTCAATCCCATCCACCAAATGAAATCCTTTTCTTCTTTAAATTTGAATTCTAACATTGTTATTTCTCTCATGTCAATTAACTGTTCATGCGATGCAATCAAAAGATGATATATTTTTACATAGGTTCCAGATAAGCACTCGTAAGTGATCGTGGGTTTACATGTTTGACGTACCCCATATCCCAAGTATCACTTTGCGTGCTCCACTTTTGTGATCTACTGGTCTAGAAGAGAATTTGGAACACTCCAAAGTGACGGTGCAACTGTCAATGTAATTCATCGTCACAACCACCACTTAGTCTACTTATTTTTAAAAATAGTAATTGCATCGTATTCCAACAAACACATTTTTAATTTTTTATATTTATTAGCACGTGCTACAACTGTGCATAAAAAAACAAGCTTTGATTAAAAATTAAATTAAATTTGCAGTAAATGAAATCCTAGAACAAAGAAGAAATTAGCTTTGAGAAATGAAATTTATGCAAAGCAATTATCTAGGTAGCATATTTATTTGAAGTTTCAAAATCG